TCTTCCTTGGAACCGTCGTTTAAGTTCTGATTTTTCACCCATAGACGCAAGTCTGTTGCTGAAACCTGTGACATTCAAGAATAAAGCATATGAAATATAAATTCAATTGGGGACCATGGATCAGATGGGTTTGAAATTTTGATCGTCATGACACCCATTATCAGGCCTAATTCTGCTTGAAACCCAAAACCCCAAATTGGAACACGAAAACCTAACAATGGCAGAAGCTTGTTCCTGCACTATGAATTAAATCAAACTATCCAGAAACATTGCAAACATGATAACAAACACAAATATGTAATTTAAACATGCTGAATACGCAAGAATTTCAGTAATTGAATTTGAATAATTGTGTAAATCGTGTGAATGATAGGAGGAGATTCTGGATGTTCTGATGTCTGCAAACGATTGGGAATGCTTCCTGAAACGCCAAGGAATTGATTTCTGGCCTTGAATTGCTCTCAAAGGTCCTCTATTCTGAAATAAGAACTTCACTTTTTGTCAAGATTTTTGAGTTTTGTTCTTACAGTCTCACGCCTCCAGCCTCCTCTTTTGATCTGCCCAGCTTTCTTATATAACCTAAAGTGAATTAGGTTAACAAACTTGGATTAAATCTTTGCATTTATCCAAGATTTGATTTGATTTTCAATGCATATGATATCTTTCTATTTTCATGCCAATCATGCCTTTCTTGTATCAATTTCCATTGATGTGATTTGATTCTGATACGCCAGCACTATGAGCTCGTGATTCTGTTCACAAATCCAAACAAAATAAATATTTGCTATCATTTACCAATTATTTGATTTAATTCAATTTTTAATAAATAAAAAATCAAAATAAAATAAATAATGAAGCAAATAACATGTGAATGCACATTTGGGTCGTTTACCACATTATAAGTGAAGTGTAGGCATAAAAAGTTAGGTCCATTTAGCAAAAAATGCAAATTTGAGCACATATGACTTTTGGCAATTTTGCAAAAATGGTCAACTTGGCCGATGCATAACTCTCTTAATTTTGACTCTAGATAGGTGTTCTTGGACTTTTTAGAAAGCTTAGGATTCCCCCTAAGCAACCCTTTTGCTCTCATCTCAATTTAGTCTTCCATGTTCATGTATGAAGCTTTTACCCAAAAGGTGTTTTTGTTGACTTTTCAAAATGACCTATACTGTCAAAATTCATATCTTTTTGTGAGTGCATATCCTGACCTTGGGAGCTGAAGATGAATTATAGGGAATTGTATCCTATTAAAAATAAGCTTTATATGGGTCATTTCTTATAAAGTATGAGGAAGTTATGCTTGGTCAAAGTTGAGTTGACTTTTCCTACAAAACCCTAATTTAGCAACTTTTGGGTTTTGATGAATTGTGAGCAATCCTTGAGGAATCATGATCAACCCTTGATCAAATGATGAACAATACTTCAAAATGAAGATGTTGACCAAAAATCTTGAAGTTTGACTGTGTGTGGGACACAGTTGACTTTTGACCTAGAACGGTTGATTTTCAGGCATTTGAGCAATTGACTGAGCAAACTTCTTCTGCAAGGCTTGAAACTTGACATGGATGAACTTGGGAACATATTAGGACATTGGTGAGCATTTTAGTCCTTTGTGGTAAACCATCTTGATGAAGATGGAAACCCTAATTAGATATAGATTGCCTTAAGAGAGAGTTTATCTGGTCAACTCTTGAACTTCCTTGAACAATTTGTGGACCTCACTTGCCATGTGTTGAGAAATATGGGAGGGAAAATTTTGGGCTACAAGAAATGCGATTTTGAAGAATGGATCTACCCTACTTCCGAAGGAAAGCTCAACAACTGGCATGCAAAGTATTTCACTCACATCTCCTTCATTGAGGAGTAATTATTGTTTACTGTTTTCTATCAATTCAAGAACTTTTGTCTGTAATCTTAATTCCAAACAATGACTTTTAATCCATGTGCCTTGCCCGGGGCACTGTGGTCCATTTGTTAAGGGTTTTGTTCATGTTCATTTATCATATGATCATTTAATATAAACCATTGGACCTTTTGCTTTCAAATTTTGTGCTCATTATCTTTCTGTTTCTTTATTTGCATTTTTCAAATAGCCATGTATCTTATATGCACACACTTGCAGATCCTCATCCACTCCGGATCTCATTGTCAACGACTCTACTATTGCCAGTTATGACTTCGACCATCCAATTAACCAAGCTGAAGACGAAGGCGAGGAAGATTGTGAAATACCAGGGGAGCTAGCCAGACTTCTAATACAAGAGGAGAAAGTTATTCAACCTCATGAGGAGCCAGTCAAAGTTATCAACTTAGGTACTGAGACAGATAAGAAAGAGGTCAAGATCGGCACCAATTTAGAAGACGGTATCAAGAGCAGGTTGATTCAAATGTTACATGACTATGTTGAAGTATTTTCTTGGTCGTATGAAGACATGCCAAGGTTAGATACCGACATTGTGGTTCATCATATACCGACAAAGGAAGATTGTCCTCCTGTCAAACAAAAAGTTCATCGTATTCGACCAGACATGTCTGAAAAGATAAAGGCTGGGGTAATAAAGCAGTTTGATACAGGTTTTCTGGCTGTAACATCTTATCCTCAATGGGTTGCAAACGTGGTTCCCGTACCGAAGAAAGACGAGAAGGTTCGTATGTGTGTGGATTATAGGGATCTGAATAGGGCAATCCCAAAGGATGATTTCTCTCTACCTCATATTGACGTCTTGGTTGACAACACCACTCAATATAAAGTCTTCTCCTTCATGGATGGATTTTCTGGCTACAACCAAATTAAGATGGCTTCCGAAGACAGGGAAAAGACCACCTTTGTTACACAATGGGGCACCTTTTGTTACAAGTTCATGCCGTTAGTATTAAAGAATGCAAGGGAAACATATCAAAGAGCTATGGTAGCTTTCATGATATGATCCATCATGAGATAGAGGTCTATGTGGATGATATGACTGCAAGGTTGCAAACTAAAGAAGAGCATCTCGATCACCTACACAAGCTATTTGAGAGGCTGAACAAGTACAAATTGAGGTTGAACCCTAATAAGTGCACATTCGTAGTAAGGTATGGAAAGCTTCTAGGTTTTGTTGTCAGTGGTAAAAGCATCAAAGTTGATCCTACAAAAGTTAACGCCATTTAAGAAATGCCAGTTCCTTGCTCTAAAAAGGAAGTTAGAGGATTCTTGGGTCGCCTTAATTACATTGCTCGTTTCATATCTCATCTGACTACTACTTGTGATCCAATCTACAAACTCCTGAAGAAAGACCAAGTAGTCAAATGGAATGACGACTACCAAGAAGCCTTTGACAAGATCAAAGAATATCTATAAGAACCTTCAATCCTGATGCCTTCAGTTGAAGGAATACCTCTGATTATGTACTTGACTGTTTTAGAGAATTCAATAGGGTGCATGTTGGGCCAACATGATGAGTCTGGCCGAAAAGAGCATGCAATATACTACCTTAGCAAAAAGTTTACCGACTATGAAACCAGATATTCACTGCTCAATAAAACTTGTTGCGCTTTGGCATGGGCTACTCGCCGGCTAAGACAGTATATGTTGACTCACACCACTTTATTGATTTCTAAAATGGACCCTATCAAGTATATCTTCGAGAAGCCAACTCTCTCTGGACGAATATCTAGATGGCAAATGATTCTGACTGAATATGATATTCAATATAAAACACAAAAGGCCATTAAAGGAAGCATATTGGCAGATCATTTGGCCCATCAAGCTGTTAATGATTACTAGTCTATGAACTTTGACTTCCCGGTGTAATACCCCAAATTTGTCCTACCCTTCTACTTCCTATCTGGCTTACGCATTTTTGCATTTTTTTTCTCACATTAGGTCATCTAACACATCATGCATCATTAATCAATAAATTGGCATAAAATCATGGATTTCGAGGAATAAGGGTTGGTGTATGGCTTTTTCTCTAACACTGTGGACTTCTTTTAGTAATACAATTTTTGGTTCTCGTCAAATACTTGCCGCTTCAATTGTGAGTCATCCCAAGGCTATCTCGAAAGGCTGCAAGCTTAAGCAATGAGGAACATCGTCTTATACTTATCACCTCCACATGAATGATGATTTATTTCCATGATCATGGTTGAAGATTTTGATATATCCATGGCCATTAAGATCTTATTCAAGGATGTTTCAATATATCATACAAAAAGGTTATCATATGAGAAAATCGTATCTTTTACGGGTTAGTATTTCAAATGGTCCTTTCTTCATCAAATGAGGTTTAGCTATTTCTTGAACCTCAAGGCATATGTTCACGAGCTCTAGGCAAGAGAAGAAGATTCAACGGGATACTATTTGCCAAATTGGAATTTGTACACTTTATGAGGCAAAGCTCTTTGTCGGGTTTATTCGCTTACTTGTGATATAATATGCTTTGGAGACTTCATTTCAAAATACATTAAAATCAAAATCTTAAGCTTCTTCAATTATGGTTTTGAAGTGAGGAGTAAGAAAGATTCAAGGCTCGTTCATTTGAGGGTGTTTAGGCATGTCTTCGTTCAAAAGCAAAGAAACTCGACGTTACAAGTTCGTCCTTGGAAAAGGCTCTTATTAAATTCATATCGCAACCATGGAGTTATATGCAACATAAAATTAAAAAGATCTTGGAGATACATAAGGCAATTCGGAAGAGAAGACTACTTGGAATATTTGGGCTCCATCATTAAAGTTCAAGAGCTCACATTCATACAATGATATAATCTTTACAAGTTCTAAAGCATTACTCGTGATTTGTCAAAGGGTTATCCAAAATCATTCTCGTTCATTCGAGGTCATGACCATGCAATTTACAAGCGGTATCATTAGAACATTACAAGAGAAGATTTCAAAAGGACGTTTACATCCAAAATTACTAAATAAAAAAAAACAAGAATTTACATTAAATATTCAAGTAGCCTAAAGCTAAAGAATTCTAAATCAAGGTTTCCCTCATTTCTAAAGTTATTTATCTTCAAGCCACTATCTTCCAAGATTGCCCCGTTCCAACCTGGTTATGTCCAAGCCTCAGTCCATGTTTCATACCAAAAGAAAACCTGCATAAACAACTATTTTTCCAAGCCAGTTCAGTACCAGTATGTAATCAAGTTAATTTAATTTAAAATATAAAAATCAACAATTACACCAAGTATTATGTGCTTAAAACAAACCGACACAGTTTTAGAAAAATACTCATCCATTTTGATGATACATCTGATGGACTCCCCCTTTGAGCATGTAATCAAAAGCTTTGAAAATGGTATTCTGTGGGTAATAAATTTCTCCAGTCCCAGCTCCTACAGCAAGTATTAACACATTAACAATGCAAATAACATATCATTCTGCAATACTAGTTAATCCTCCTACAATAATGCGGTTTTTGATGTCCACTGGATTAAGGATGATACACAGATCCTCACTGCTTCTGGTGATCAAACTGTCAAGGTATAGGATGTTCAAGAACAGAAGTGTCTTGGAGTGTTAGTGGGGCATTTGGGGAGTGTGAAATCTATTTGTTCTCACCCAACTAATTCTGATATTCTTGTCTCTGGTTCAAGAGATGGATCCTTCCGTCTTTGGGACTTAACATGTAACCTCACTGTGAAGAATAGACGTGGAGAATATAGCATAAGTTAGATAGCTGATGTCAAAGGAGCACACTGTTACCTTCTCAAACTAACAGCACAACAACCACTTCTAACTGCAAAACAGAATAGTTATAGCATAACTAACAAATATCCAAGACCATATTCAGTAACCAATTTTCTGCCCTCAACTAACCCTCTAATCTCTAACAGGTTTTAAACCAATCATTTCTAACTGTCAATAACTAACTTCCTCATCTCATACTAACACTTTAACAGAATTTCTGTTTTACAAAATAACAGTTTTAACCAAGTCCAACTAACTCTCAAACTCCAAAATCCAACCCTTGATTTCTCTAACAGAAATCCTCAATCTATGGTCAAGATTCAATCACCTTCTAACTAACATTCACAGATCCAACAATCTATATAACAGAATTGAGATTCACGAGAATGGGAGAATAGATAGGAATTCAACACAGAATAGGGAAAGATTATTCACAGGGATACCATTATTCATAGAAAGTTAGAGAAGAGCTGCAAAAAACTCACCTTTACAATCATTCTTCATCGGTTAGAAGAATCACCACAAAAAAATATCAAAAAGAAACTTCTCAATCTTCTCTCTGCAGATCCGCGATTCAGAATTCACAAACTCACCAAAAAAATATCATAACTCTCTCTGAACTCCTCTGCATATTTTGAAATCATCTTCAACAATCCACACCTTCAATCACCTTCTTCATCCATGATATTCATCTTCATCATCTACAAATATACGTGGAACTTGCAATATTTTGGCATCGCATCTTCATCTTTGATATCAACCTTCTGTTTTAATCCATAGAATTCCCTGTTACTCTATTTTAATCCATAGAATTCCCTGTTACTCTAATTCTTCACAAACATCATCATGAATCTTCATCCTTCAACATCAACCTCCCTGCTCCGTCTCCATAATCAAGCACTTCTCTGTATCTTCTTTATCAACAACCGGTAACAACGAACCACAACAACGCAACATTCAGAAAATGCACAAAAAAACATCAAAATGAGAAGAGATCGACAAGAAAGAAGAAGAGAAAAATCAGAAGCTAGAATCCAGGATTAGATCATACCCGAGCCATTGAGTTTGTTATTTTTGGAATTCTAGAGTCGTCATAGCGTCTCTGGTCGGCACTTCTTGCATCAGATGGAGATATGGAGCGAATCGCTAGGGAACGAGAGCAAACCGATGGAGAAAACAAAGTGGACGAAGGCGACGAAGCTAAGCGGAGACGGAGGCCGATCAACGGCCAGTAGTCGCATTTGTTGTTTGCAGCGCCTCTATGAGCAGTTTGAAGAAGGAGGTGGAAATCATTGAGTTAAAGAAGACGAAAGGGAGAGAAGAAGAAGAAAACGCGAGGAAGGCGGAGGCGCCGCCGCTGCCGTTCGTGAAGGAGAGGGAGAGCCATTTTCATTCTAACCCTATTCCCTTTCCAATTTTCATACTTTTTTCTTTTTTGTTTTAACTGATTTTATTATTCTATGTTTTATTTACTTAATTCAAATTAATAATAATTATAATTAAGCAAATAATAAATAAAATGCTGAAAATCTTTTTTTGGACAAATTACTTCAACACCCACATTTCTAGACTTCATACCCCCTAACTCTTCTAATTTTTTTCTTTTCTTTTATTATTTTAGTTTTTTTCTTTTAGTTTAATTTTTTTAATCAATAATAAAACAATAAAAATAATAGAATATTTTTAGAATAGAATTTCTTTTTAGAATTTCGATTAGAATTTTTCTATTTTATTTTTCATATTCGATAATCATTTTATTGACTTTTTTAGTCAAGATTTTTGTGATAGCATCGACATGATTCTTGCAATGTGGAATGCTCGGGGTGAACTCTTCAATCACTCGTTCGAGGAAACTTTGATAGAATTTTCTTACCGCTTGCACAATTTTGAAGAGGCAACGGACTTTCTCCGTTCGGTATCGTCACAAATCTATTTTATTCTTCATTTCCGTACTTTATCGCAAATCCATGAACATGCTAACATTAGGTAGAATTCCCTCATTCATTCTAACTTTAGGTCTAACGCACAATAACATTAGGTCTAGAAATAGGTTAATTCCCCTTTAACTTTTCTTTCTCCTTTTGCATTCGCACCTGAAACTAAAACTTCTTTTCTTTCAAAAAAATTCAAAATACTTTAAAACTATTGATGAGAATCATGCTTTTGCTTAGTACGAGAAACGATAAGCGGGTCTCTTCTCGATCTTATTGTTCTTCATCTCAAGCATGGGCGTGGTTCAATTCTCAAAGACCCCTTTCATGACTAAGTAGAAGAATGGCTAATATCTCTCTCTTGAGGTCAATCAGTCATCATCTACAACAAAAATACAGAACAAAATCAAATCTTTTGTGCGCTCGAGCACCATTTCATTAAAAAAACCCTCTTCAGGTAAGGACATGATTAATTTACTTTTGTGCTAACGCATAAGCCTCCAAAGGTCGAGCTGTGGCAGAAGGCGGAATTAACTTCGTCCATAAAAAACATCTATAACAAAATATAAACAAACTCAAATCTTTTGTGCGCTCGAGCACCATTTCTTTAAAAACTTTTTCAAGTAAGGACATGATTAATTTACTTCCGTGCCAACGCACAAGTCTCCGAAGGTCGAGCTGCGGCAGAAGGCGGAATTAACTTCGTCCATAAAAAAACATCAAACAAACAAAAAAATGTGAGCCGAACTACGGTAGCTCTGATTCCTCAAAACGGATACGTAGGCATTGGGGTAGGGCCCAAGCGAGCACAATTTTATTTTCCCTACATTCTTTTTCCCCTTTCTTTTGCATGCATTCCTTTCACTAGTATAGTAGACAGTAAGCATAGATTCAACACACCCATAAGATAGACAACAAGAGTGGATACCCTAGAGTACTACGGGCGTGTGGGGTGCTAATACCTTCCCCTCGCGTAACAGACTCCCTTACCCGATCTCTCGGTCGCAAGACCGTGACTTCTCCCTTCTCAGGTTTTCTCGATGTTTACCTTTCCCTACATGTGGGATAAAAGACGTTCGATGGCGACTTCATTGTTTGATGATTTTCAGCTGGTTGTTTCACCCGGATGAGAATATCATTTTAGTGACTGACTGTGCAAAACCTAGACCGTATGACGGACCTGAACAAGGATCCTGATGGAATATGGTTTTTGATGGAGCTTCCAACGCTTTGGGCAATGGAATTAGTGTTGTGATGATTTCTCTCGAAGGTTGTCACAATCATTTCACTGCTAGACTGTGCTTCGATTGTATGAATAACATGGTTGAGTACGAGGCGTGCATCTTGGGTTTGAAGGATGCCATTGACTTAAGGATCAAGCAGTTGGACGTATTAGGAGACTCTGTTGTAGTGATTATCCAAGTAAAGGGATAATGGGACACTAAAAATACTAACCTGATTCCTTACAAGAAGCTTGTGTTAACACTGATTCCATGTTTCGAAGAGATCACCTTTGAACATTTCCCTAGAGAAGAAAATCAGTTATCTGATGCCTTGGCAACAATGTATTCCATGTTCAAGGTCAAATGGGACAATGAAGCTCATATAATTACAATTGAGAGATTTGACAAACCTGCACACTGCTACGAGCTTAACACTGACGAAGAGAAACCATGGTACCATGATTTAAGGAGATATCTTGAGGCACAAGAATATCCTGAAGGAGCTTCCATTAATGATAAGAAATTCTTGCAAAGATTTTCAGCCAAATTCTTTCTAAGCAAGGAAATCCTGTACAAGCGCAACCATGATTCTACTATACTCTGATGTGTGGAAAAAAGGAGGCCGAGAAAATTATGGAAGACATGCATGATGGGCTCTTTGGAACCCACTCTAATGGACACACTATCACCAAGAAAATCCTGAGGGCTGGTTACTATTGGTCCACAATGGAAACTGATTATCATCATCACTCAAAGACTTGCCACAAGTGTCAAATCTATGCTGACAAGGTCTATGTACCTCTTATACCTCTAAATGTCATGACTGCTCTGTGGCCATTTGTAATGTGGGGCATTGACATGATCGGGGAGATCAAACCTAATTCCTCCAATGGACATCGTTTCATCCTTGTTGCCATTGATTACTTTACCAAGTGGGTCGGAGCTGCCTTATATGCCTCAGTTACCAAGAACGTTGTAGCCAAGTTTATCAAGCATAATCTCATATCTTGTTATGATATCCCCGAAAGGATCATCACTAACAATGGAATCAACCTCAACAATTCTATGATTATGGAACTTTGTACTCATTTTAAAATCAAGCATCACAATTATTCTCCATACATACCCAAGATGAATGGCACAGTGGAAGCTGCCAATAAAAATATCAAGAAGATTATGCAAAAGATGATGGTAACGTATAAAGACTGACATGAGATGTTATTGTTTGCTCTCCATGGCTACTGTACTTCAGCTCGAACATCAACTGGGGTAACCCCGTTCTCCTTGGTCTATGACATGGAAGTTGTCCTACCTGTCGAAGTTCAGATTCCCTCTCTAAGGATAATGAAGGAAGCAAATTTAGGTGAATATGAATGGATTCAGACTAGGTTGGATCAGTTGAACTTGATTGACGAGAAGCGACTAACTGCTGTTTGTCATGGTCAGATGTACCAAAAATGTATGATCAAGGCTTTTAACCAAAATATCAAGCCTCGAGTATATCAGACTAGCGACTTGGTAATAAAGCGCATCATTATTCCACAAGGAGACCCCAGGGGCAAATGGACTCTCACTTACGAAGGACCATTTATTGTAAAGAAAGTTTTCTCTGGTGGTGCCATGATGCTGACTACTATGGATGGCGAAGACTTCCCACATCCTGTGAACACGGACATAGTTAAAAAATACTATGCATAAAGTGACCCGCTAGGTTGACATACCTAGGAAAAAATAAGGGCATCCCGGTGAACCAAAGAGGTTCGGGAAAAAGTTAGGGATATATGCAAAATATTGTACACCCGGCAAGTTGAAAACCCGAAAGGGAGATTTGGGCAAAAATGGGTATCCTGGTGGGATGAAAACCCGAAAGGGTAGTCCAGGAAAAAGTTAAGGATTAAAGCGTATGACTACATCCCGTGGGATCTTTACAGCCAGATTTATTACCAAAGTTCTAAGTTCAAATGATCCAAGATCAATCCAATCAACTTCTTTCAATGGCAAGGGGTGGTGTTCGAGGACATTGGAGCAATAGTGGAGTTGGAACACAATGAGATCACTTCCACGTGGCTATTATTTTTGCTTTGTATTCCTTTCATTCTTTCGACAATTTCCTCTTACTAGGATCTTTGTCTCTTTGTACAAAAACTCCTATTCATGGGAAAAACATCAATACAGATATACTTTGAAGTACAAACTTTCAGTTTTTTCAGTTTTGAGTGCAAAAGTGTCCAATGACTAAAATTGAATGAACATATGCATATGAACATGATTAAACTTTTAACAAATGTAGGCTTAAAATCAGTGACAATCATCTCCTTAAATGCATTTGAGATATCTCCACAA